TGATGCTGATGCTGTAGGTAATACTCTATAAGATTTCTAGTGATGCTGTTGGCTCTAGTGATGGCAAGTTGGTTTCTGATCCAATTAAGAAATGGATCTATGTTGGCTATGTGAGAGCTCATACACATGATGTGAGGGCCTTGACTGTAGCGGTACCTATATGTCATGAAGGTTGGTTTTTGGTTTTGATAATCTTATAATTGTTGGCATTATGGAACGATTTTGATGTATGCTTTTCTTTCCTTTTATCTTCTCTCATTGTGTGCATTCTCTTCGTAAATATTTTGGGCCTGGGAATTCTAATTTTTCTTTGCCTGAGCAGATGTCTTCCCTGATGAAAAGGTGAAAAGGACCCGTGGCAGGAAGAAGCCCATTGACTTTAGTTACCATAAGTGGGCCCATTTAGGTGTACCCATGCTTATTTCTGCTGGTGATGATACAAAACTTTTTGCATATTCTGCCAAGGAGTTCACGAAATTTTCTCCGCATGATATTTGTCCTGCACCACAGAGAATGCCCATGCAACTCACGCTGAAAACATTTTCTAATCAGGCTCCATTGCTTCTTATCCAGGCTTCTTACTGGTTAGATATTTATTGCGTTCATGTAAAAAATGATGCCGTCTCTGACGTTAGTCCAGGCTCATCTGCTGGGATTGCAACCACAGATTTGGTGGCAAGAATTAAATGCAAACCTTCTCGGAAGATAATTTGCAGTACAATTTCTTCATCAGGCACATCATTTGCTTATTCGGACCATGTGAAATCCAATCTATTTGAATTGAAGCGGAGTAAATCAGGGAAAAATGTCTGGACTGTAAAGAAAAGGCAGCTCCAGTGGGAATTGCCATATGCCCATTGCATAGCTTTTAGTTCTGACTCTTCACGTCTACTGATAGCAGGGCATGATCGGAGGATATACGTATGTCTCTCCTCTTTCTTATTATTTTCTTACTGGATTTTACTTTTATTTGCTCCTTGTCGCAATGGTATGTTTTGATTTATTATTTGTCATTGTCTTGTCCTTTATTAGTCCACATGCATAGGATTGTCTTACAATTGATGAGAAATGGCTCATGGAAATTATGTTTATGGCTCAACTCAACAAGATTTGTGCCATGCATCATTATTGCATGCCCAAAGCATGTTGTATAATCAGCTTCACAAATCTATATGTACAGACCATCCAACTCATTACTGCACCTATTGCTGGTGCATTTACTCTATAATGTGCAGTAATTTGTAACAAGAGCCCAAACTCAGACTCAGTACGAACTTCCACATACTTAAATGTTTTGCAAGGGAAAAATACTTAAAAGTGATTTGTTTCACTCTAGCTTGATTACTATTTAGAATGTTCGTATTAAAGGAATTTCAGAAACATGAATGATGCTTTGAATAAAGTAAATCTATTATTGGAATAGAAATTCATGTTGACGTTGGATGTTATTGTGGGGCTGTGATGCTCGGGCTCTTAAAAAATGGTGAAGCAACTTGCTACATGACATGGATATTGACATGGAATGCAGATTGTATCCTTGGTGTTTCAGTTGGACATGGAAGACGAGAGTGGAAGAAGACAAGGGAAGGTGAGGACTCGCCATTTTGACTGTTCCGAAACTCGAATGAGGAAGGTGAGAAGCTTGATGAAGAAGAGCTAAGGCAGGAAGAAGGGAGGGAGACTTGGGAAGTTGGAAAAAGGGGCTGCTTCTGGCTCTGTGAAATTGGTAATAAACATAATGAAGAAGATAGTTTGGCTCGTGATTTGTTAAGTGGGTTTGACTTACGTTTTGTCAACATTTTATATTGTAGTTAAAACAAAACAAATCAGTTTTATTTTTATAAAAGTAGAAATACTAATATTTAAATAAAATAAATTAATTGTAAATTAATTGTATATAATTTGTTATCTATCTACAACTTAATTGCTTGTTCTTTATCAAAATTCGAATCCTTTTAGATGTATCCCCATGTCCTTATTTTTAAAAGAAAAAGGATACAACTCCTAGAAATATACCTGTATTCGACACACATACCCTAATCCGAGCAACATAGTTTTGGGATATGTTGTGCTAAATTGGATTACTAATGAAAGAGTGACTTCTATGGATGGGAGTCACTGGAATACTTTGATTTGGTAATTGGAAGAGCCTCTCTCAATGGATGTGGGTGGTTTATGTAGTAGACAGGTGCATGGAAAATTGAGTGTGTTGGTAATGTTATTCCCAATTCACCTATGGTGTCATGAATGTATAAAGAACTGGTGATTTATCTTGCTAAATTGGATTACTAATGAAAGAGTGACTTCTATGGATGGGAATCACTGGAATACTAAGATTTGGTAATTGGAAGAGCCTCTCCATGGATGTGGTTTATTAAGTAGACAGGTGTATGGAAAATTAGCACCTATGGTGTCATGAGCGTATAAAGCACAGGTGTGTTGCTTCCCCATGACAAGTAATGTAATTTTGTATGTACAAGAAACAGGGCAGTTGGTGTTTGCCCTTGAAACTTTTAAGGTGATCTCTTGTTTGGAGGAGGCCTTTTTGTTGTCTTGGCATGAGTGCATCAAGTGAAAATTGAATGAAAGCAATTTGAGATTCTGATGCTAATTTGGTCTCGTGGAGTTAGCGGAGATGAAATAGTTTGGAAAGGTGCAATACCTTGTTATAGGGATTTAAATGACTGAGTAATCTTGATTGATGATTTTTAGACAATGATGGAGCGGATTGTGATTGAGTGATAGATTGATCGACACTCGAAGAACATTCGCTTACCTTGAAGCTGCCCCAAATATCCTACCGTTTGCTTCCCATGCTCAATCTGTTTTCATTCACAACCCAGCTTCACCACTTTATCTCACTGTGGCTACCCCGATGGAGAATATTATTGGGCTAAGTGACGTTTCCTTTCAAGCGAACGAATCTATTCATCAAGCTTGTCCTACCTCTTAAATTGATTGAAGAATTCCGAGGGAATGAACCGAGATTGCCAAACATTTATCCAAGTCATTCTTTCATGATTAAGTAGAACGTGAGGGGCTTTTGATTTTAGTTGCAACCAAAAGGGTGATTTTCTCCCTAACCACGGATCCCATACTACCCCCTATAAACTGAAAATCCATTTTCCGATTTCATTAAATATCTTGACTCAAAAATATCCTTATTGACATCTTTTTCCCGTATACACATGGCCCTACTTTGATGCCTTGTCAATACAACTAACTTTTAATTCCAAATATTACCAGAGGAAGCAATTTGACCAATCAATTAAGTGTAAGTTTTTTAAGTGCATCTGAATCTTCACGTGTTACTGTATCATTTTTTTTGCATTTTGTGGATTGGTTGTCTGGTGTTATCGTTCATTTTCCTCTTTAAAGTACTGGCAATTTTGGTTATTGTGAACAATCGAATTGATTGTTTTTGTAAAGTTGCAGTGTTGTATTTTTTTATTTTGTAAAAATATGTTTATTGTTTGTGTATTCAATTTATCATTTGTTATTTTGCGAAGAATAGTAAATCTCATTAAGTCTTGATAAATTCTACTTTATGGTGAACTAATCCTTTCCATCAACCAAAAATACATAGATAAATGAACAAATAAATCAAATTTTATGATGAAGTTTGCTCGATATAGATTTTAGACTACTTAAGTTTGTGACAGTCAATATGTGTCGGCAATTCAATCTCTTCAACCTATTTTTTTCCCTTGTTTGCAGGTAGTGGATGTGGAAAGTGGTGAACTAGTTCATGCCTTCACTCCTTGTCGTAGAGACCTAGATGAGGAATTGCCACCGAGTGAGCCTCCTATTACAAAAATGTTCACAAGTATTGATGGCCAATGGCTGGCTGCCATCAACTGCTTTGGAGATGTGTATATATTTAATCTGGAGACTTTAAGGTTTGTAATGCAGACTCTGATTGGGTTCAGTTTTTCTCCTTGTAAGTAGAATAATCGTACTTTTTTCTCATAGAACTGGCTAAACAAGAGTACAATTGGTAAATTTCTATGTTGGTTTGAAAACAAATTCATGAGAAGCATGATATTACTGGACTTCAAATAAATATGTTAAAAGTACGTTTTCCATAGTCTTGAAGATGCACATTGAAGATAAAATGTGTTTTTAAAGCCAACTTCTGGGCGATTCCAGTCATTAGTCGTCATCTCCTCTTTTATCTAGATAGACAATCTACTTGCTAAATTGAAACCAGAGAGACCCTAAATAGAAATACTACAAATTGAGTGTACTATCCTGTTTCTATGTAACATCTGCCAGTTTTTCCATCAATACATAAAAAAAAAATGTTAAAAGTACTTTTTCCATAGTCTTGAAGATGCACATTGAAGATAAAATGTGTTTTTAAAGCCAACTTCTGGGCGATTCCAGTCATTAGTCGTCATCTCCTCTTTTATCTAGATAGACAATCTACTTGCTAAATTGAAACCAGAGAGACCCTAAATAGAAATACTACAAATTGAGTGTACTATCCTGTTTCTATGTAACATCTGCCAGTTTTTCCATCAATACATAAAAAAAAAGAGACTTCAATACTTCAATCACTTAACCTAGAAGCTATCATTCCGTCCTAAGCAGAGCGGACGCTTGTTGACCTTCCCACGCTCCTAACGCCGAAATGAGGATTCAATCACGATTCTCCAGTTGGAAAATGTCCATGGCAGATATGGTCGAATGGTAAAATTTTTCTGTCAAGGAGAAGATGCGGGTTCAATTCCCACTATCCACTCATGCCCCCTTTACTAATACCATCCCAAATATGAAAAGTGGCATGATATAAGTACTTGGAAGACTTATGCTTTGAGATGCACTTTGTGCTACACATTCACTAATCACTAGGTCCGCAAAGCTTATGCTATGGGTGGCCTTTGTCAAGTCTTACTAAGGGCATCTGAGGTACTCTTGACCTTTTTTGCTATTTTACAAGCCTCGGCTTTTTGGACTAGTTGTTACAATCATAGCCCAAATCACTTACCGTCTGCTTTGTCAATTTATTATGTGTTACTTTCTTGAATAATTTTATGTTTCTAGTTGCAAATCAAACTTCTAAAATTTGTAGAAATGTTTTAGATTTTTTCAGATGATTTTATAATGTGTTATGAGGATAATTTTTTTTTTAATTGTTTTGAATTAAAAAAAAAAAACAAAAAAACAAAAATCAAAAACAAAAAAACAAAAAAGTATTGGTTTGTGCTGAATCCTATGCCTTTCCGCCTCACCTCATGGACACAAAAGTCCTTGATAACCGATTTAGGACTTTTGAGCACTGATGTATGCTCGTTTATAGATTATTTTTGGTTTTTATTAAGTTTAAATAGGCATTATATCATCTGGGTATTACTAATTGTTTTGGAAGCTTCTTGTACAACATTATGTTGTCTTGCTCTTTGGTGATGGCTGGAGAATCAAATCATGTTCTGTATTAAAGATGTACTGATGCTTTTATAATTGGAAACCAAAATCTTAGGGACCCCTAGTTCCGTCTTGCAGCTACCTTGAGTCGCTGATTAAATTTCCCTTTGGATATATTGATAAAATACTTTTTGTTTTCTGCTATAGGCAGCACTGGTTCATATCAAGATTGGATGGGGCCTCAGTTACAGCTGGTGGTTTTACTCCAAGAAATAGCAATATTCTCATAATCTCCACTTCTTCAAATCATGTTTATGCATTTGATGTTGAGGCCAAACAGTTGGGGGAGTGGTCCATGCGGCACACATTTTCTCTGCCTCGAAGATATCAAGAATTTCCTGGTGAAGTTATTGGTCTTTCCTTCCCACCATCATCTGGTTCGTCATCCGTTATTGTCTACAGTCCTAGGTAATTTTCTTTTTCCATGAGTGAATATCCCCTATTTTCTCTTCTTAATCTATATTCTTGTTCTTTGATGAGGTGTAGGCTTACTTTTTACTTGTCTATGGATTTGAAAAAATAATCAGAAGTTATTTATACTAATTGACAGTATAGGGTCATCCATTTATCATGGAAGTCAGTCTTGAATTAAAATCATTAGAAACTATAAAGCAGCATGTAATATGGAATTTGTCAGTGATTGCTGCTGACAATCTTTATCGTGAAGCTCCATCTTGATTTTAAATGTATGAGATGAAAAGTAAGGGTCAATAATTAATCAAGTGCTGGATAAAGTTCTCATGTGATGTAAATACTATAAATGCAAACTATGAAGGACTATAATATTATAATTATCATCTCACCAATATTGTTATCCTTGAACCAAAACTGTGTTTAAACCATAATTCCACCAGGGCTTTTAGGACTTGCTGTATGAGAAAAACTCATCTTTAAGGATGGAATTGTCACATGATTATAAAATCAATAGCTCGTATGGTTTGTTTTGTTTAAACATCTCTTGAAATGCTAACTATACATGATGATACTTCAAACTGTAACAAGTTCGTATAGCTTTTTGCACCGATGAAGACTTGAGTTCAGAATAAATGGAAGTGCTGTATGGTTATGTACTCTGCATCATGTTACAGGTTGTTAATAATATTTCAGATGTACGATGTTGATATGTTCCATGTTTTCAAGAAGTAATTATAACTTTGTTATCATGAGTACTGTAAATAAATCTTTCGAAAAAATTCTATTTCAGAACTATTGATTTTAGGGAATGGGACAAAGTTGATTGATGAGAATCATAGATTAGTCGTATGTTTTTAAGCTGTAAGTAAATAAATCCATCGCTATTGTTGGTTTTTCCTCTTTTGCAGCTCTTTCATTCCCAATTTTGGCCATATTGAAAATTTGGACAACCATTTCCCGAGTCATAGTACATTCAAACAAATGTCCAACTCTTTTATTGGATTTGTTTCGCCATGTAAACTATCATGTAGATAACGTTTCTAAAAAGCTGACAACTTATGATGCTTATGTTCCAGGGCGATGTGTTTGATTGACTTTGGGATGCCAATTGATAGGGAGGACGATAATGAATTGGCAAATGGTGAGGACTTAGCATTGAGAATGTTGCAGAGCAATGGAAAATTGAAGCGTAAATTGAAAGATCATGAATTAGAAACTAGACAGAGCGGTAGAAAGAACTTTGAATTCTGTGCTTTCAGAGATCCTGTTTTATTTGTTGAACATCTTTCTAGAAATTCTCTCTTGGTCATTGACAAACCATGGATGCAAGTAGTTAAGACTTTGGATACCCCACCTGTCCACAGACATATTTTTGGGACATAAGTGCTCTTATTTTGATTCCTTTTACTCCAGTCTTCCTTCTGGTCACCTTTGGTTTTGTGAGGGGTGGGGATGGCAGCGTTGGCGTTGGCGTTACGTTTTGGTCTGGATCATGTTGTGCAATGTAATCCTTGATAGTTCTTTTAACATGTCAAGTTAATTATTATTTCAATATATTTTTTAAATTATGCAGATTTCTTCATGTTAAAACCTTTGTTTTATTAATTTGAAGTTTCTTGTCCACATCTCTTATTTATCATTGTAAGAATATCTTCAAAAGGCTATTTATTAAAAAAAATATATATATTTAATAAATAATAAAAAAAAATTGTTATAAATTATAGAGGCATCTTTAAATTTAGAGTAAAAAATTTTATGCACTCCAACAATGTTTCTCTATTTTTGTTCTTTATTTTGTTATTTTTTTTTTCAGAAACATTTATGATTTCTTCTTGTATTTTAATTTAGCCAAATTTTTTATATGTCAATGGTGAATCAATTTTAAATGTTTTTGAATAGTTTAAGAAGTAGAATATTAAAATTTGTGATTTATTAAATGTAATTATTGTACATTAAGAATTGAGAGTGGGTTTGATTCGCTAAATCTGGAAATTTAAATCCACTCTTTATTTTGAAAAGTTAAAATGGTGTTTTTTGAAACTCATTTTTAAGCATTGACTCCTTAAAATAGAAAGTATTTTATATTTAGTCTCTTGAATATGCTCTAATTGATTTATGGCAATAACGTTTTTGCAATTTTATATTTCTTTAGAGATGTAATAAATGATGTCACAATTTTTCACCCATAGTTGGATGCATGATATAAATCTAGGTCCACGTGTTGCAAAATATCATTATGGACATTGAAATAGAATATGATGGTCTTGTTAAAGATGATTGATACAAAATCTGCTTGACTTTTATTCCTATTGTGGAATATCTATTGTTCTTTTATTTTGA